CAGTCAAGTTACCTCAGCAGCAGCATCAACAACAGCAGCAAAACCGTCAGCCTCGTCCTTTCTCCTCGACAGTTCAGACGACAGTGATAATGACATCTTTGGAGCTTCGGTAACTTCCACTCCAGGCAAGTCCACCGCTAAGCCTTCGCCACTTGCAACCTCAACAACAACGACCCCAACAGCTTCAATCATCTCCCGAGCGCCCATCTCTCTCTTCTCCGACAGTGAGGAGGACGACACTGACTTTCTCTCGGCCAGTCTGAACAAGGAGAAGGAGAAGGAGAAAGCGGAGGAGGTTGCTGTGCCTAAACCGACGACTTCCGCCACCGCAACGACGGCGGCAAGAAACCTGAAAAAGAGCATCTTTGATGATGACAGCGACAGTGATGGTAAGCAAAAGCTTGAAATACAAAAAATACTGAACCACTAATATTTTTTTCCCACGCTTTTAGATTTATTTAAGTAGGCAGATGACATCCACTTGGATGAGAAACACAATGCTGATGATGGTGATGATGAGAAGGAAAATAAAACACCGGAATAGTGCACAGAGATAACACAAAACTAGTGTCCTCTTGTTGACTGCCAATGATGAGGATGATGAAAATGTGGAGTTTATTCACTATCACTTTCCCTTTCCGTGCTTTGACTTTGATTTGCCACCACTGCTTCCTCCAGCTGGTGAACTCCCGGAACCTCCAGCACCAGCTCCACCACCATCCTGAATGTAGATCTGCCCACCCTGGAGCTCCTCCTTGGACACCTCCGTCACCGTCTGCAGCTTGTCCTTCGCCTCGAGGAAGAAGAGGACATCTCGGAGCTGCTCCTGCAGCTCGCCAATCTGCCGCTCCTTCTCCCCGTTGCTGCGCTCAATGTCGGCCAGCCGGCGCGCCCACTCCTCCTGGTTGGCGCGCAGCGACTTGTTCAGCGCCTGCTCCTCGCCGAGGCCGGCCGCCGTCTTCGCCAGCTTCACGCCCACTGCGGCCACCTTCTTCTCCAGCGCCTGGCGCTCCTTCCGGGCCGCCTCGAGGCGGTCGGCGAGGCGGCGGTTTTCCTCCGTGAGGTGGCGGTTGGCCTCTGTGAGGGCCTCGTTTTGAAGTGCGGCCTCCTTGCCGGCGAGCGCCATCATCTCCTCGTAGTAGCGCCGCTGCGTCTCCAGCTGATTCGTCAGCAGGTAGGTGTACTCCAGCTGGACGGCGTCGATCTTCTCCTCGGCGTTTGGATTGCCGGCATTGGGCGGCCCGTGGCCCTTGTGCTCCACCGGCTCGCCGTCCTTGCTGCTCTGCAGCAGCCGGTGGACGTAGCCCTCGCCCGCGTAGTCCCACACGCGGTGGTTGTCCCCTAGCTGCATGACGTAGGTGTGCTGCGACGCCCGGTAGTGCTCCCGCGCGTGCCCGCCCACGTACCGGCCGCAGCCGATGTGCCCGCAAATGAGGCAGATCCACAGCGTGTCCTGGGGCGTCGACTGCGAGCCGCAGACGGAGCAGCGGCTGTCGGGCAGCAGCTCCGGCGTGGCGAAGTACCGGCAGACGGGGCAGCTGCAGTCGTGCCACTGGTCCAGGCAGCGGCTGTGGAAGGAGTGGTTGCAGAGGATGGTGAGGATGCCCTGCACTGACTCGTCCATCCGCTCCAGACACACGGTGCAGGTGGGCAGCTCGGTGAAGCCGGTGATGGGCAGCTGGGCGGCACCGCCCCCACCGCCCTTTTTCGATCCTCCCTCCTCCTCCATCACCTCGACGTGGGCGACAAAGGCGAGGTGGCAGAGCTCCGGCTCGATGCTGTTGTAGGCGGTGCCGTTCAGCGAGTTGTAGAACTCGTCGGCGCTTCGCTGGCTGTGGAACTTGAGCAGCACCTGAGAAGGAGAAGGAGGGCATTAGTGGTAAATAGAAGTTGGAAATAGGTGAAAATAGAAATCGCACCATGTACTGGTTGGGCTTCGAGTCGCGGATGATCTGAATGTGCTGAATGTCCTGGTTGAAGGGCGCCGTGAACTG